GAGTTAGTAAGGTTTAGGATTGAGGATTATCATAAAAAAGCAAAGTTCTTAGCAACTGGCAATAAAAAGCTGGAATTGAAATGACAAGACAGCATCCTTCCCAGTTGCATAAAACCATGACTGGGGGCAAAACTAACTGATAAAATGTTGATGAGAGCTGCCACGGAGACCTTCTGAAGAGAGAGAGCTGTAAGTGTGCTCGTGTATTGGAACAGTCAATGTGGTCACGATGTCACTTTTCCTCAATATGCCCAAAACAATCCCAATAAAAACCACAGATGATTTAAAAAAGAAATTGGCAGGATAATTCTATAATTTATATAAACAAACAAAAGGCCTCAAATGGTTACAATGGGTAATTTCGAATAATAAAAGCAAGGACTGGAGAGATAGCTCAGTGGTTAAGAGCACTGGCTGCTCTTGAAAAGGATCCAGGTTTGGTTCCCAGCACCCATATGCAGGCTCATAACTGTCTGTAACTATAGTTCTAGGGGACCCGACACCCTCTTCTGGCTTCTATAGATACAGGCAAATGCATAGATACAGGCAAATATTCTTGAACGTAAAATAAAAATAAAAATGAAGTTGGAGAGGTCACATCCCCTGGCCTCAAGATTTGCATACCATGATCTAAAATTGTTACAATTTTGAATAAGAAGAATGAAGTTGTGGGGTCCACATTACCCAGTTTGAAACTTACTATAAGGCCAGAGTAATTACAATAGTTTAGTGTTTGCTAAGAGAAGGATCACTAGACTAAGAAAATAGTATTGATGAGACAGCAGCTAATAGACTTGGGGAAAATATTTTCGAACTGTTTATCTAGTAGGAAATTAATATCCAAAGTGTATAACGAATCATACAGCACAGTAGTAGGAAAACAACCCAGCTAAGAAATAGGGAAAGGGGCTGGAGAGATGACTTGGTGGTTAAGAGAACATATTGCTCTTGCAGAGATCTTAAGTTTGGTCCCAGTACCCAGGCCAAGTAGCTGGCAGTGACCTGTAACTCCAGATCCAAGGGGAGCTGATGCCCTCTTCTGGCCCCCATGAGCACTGCATTCGTGTACAAATACCCCTACATAGACACATAAACATACAATTAAAAATAATAAAATAAATTTTCAACAAAGAAGTTAGTAAAAGACTAGATAAGACCCTTTTCCTAGAGAAGACACATCTGACCAAAGATCACTGAACATTTTTAATCATCAGGAAAGGCAAATCAAAACCATTATGGGATATCACCTCAGACTCAGTAGGGATGGCGGCTCCCAAAAAGTCAACTGACTGAGGCTCAGTAGAAGAGCACCTCCCTAGGATGCATAAGACACTGGTTCAGTCCCCCCACTGCCAAAAATAATAATAAAATGTCACAAGATAACTGCCCCAAAAAACCAAAATTGATGGGTATAGAGAAAAGAGAATCCTTGTAAGCTCTTGGTAGCAATGAACATTGTTACAGCCACCATAGAGAACAGCCAGGAGTTTTCTGAGGAAATTAAAAATGTAACTGCCATATGAGGTGTATTAGGTGTATACACAAAGGAGATACAATCCCCATGGGGTTGCGATAATCACAGTCCCACACTCACTGTAGCATCATGCACAATATCCAAGATATGGAAAGAATCTTATGTATCCATCTCTGAGTGAATGGGTAGAGAAGCTGGTCATGATATACAAAGAAATATTATTTGGGCTTTAAAAAGGAGACCCCGCCATTTCCCACAACAAGGATGCATCTGGAAGACATTCTGCTAAGTGAAATGAACCAGACACGGAAAGGAAAATACTGCATGATCTCAATTATATGTGGAGCCTTAAAAAGTCAACTATGCAGACAGAATAAAACAATGTTTCCACATATTCATTTATTGATTTTCAACAAAAGTGCTAATGTAATCCAATGGCTAGTGCATCGGCTTTTCAGCAGAATGTGCCAGGGCAATTGACTAAGGAAATAACCCATGGCCTCTGCTGCACTATAGAAACCTTCACTGGAAACGTTTTGTGAAGAAGTGTAAGGACTAAATGGATGAAAATCGTAGAAGAAAACATAAGAGAAAAATATCTCTAAGTTTGAGATTTGTTATCTTTAATACAGAAAGCACAGACTGTACCAAGGAGAAAAAAAGATGAATTGGATTTAATCAAAATTTAAAACATCTGTATGGTAAGTTAAGCAACTCAATTTTTAAAGTTGGTAAAATTTAAATATTTTTTTTTTTTTTTTGCCAAGGAGAAGATATAGATGGCAGACAAACCAGTGAGTAGAAACTAAATGTAACTGTCATTAGAAAAATGAAATTAAAACCCCCAGGGAATACCACCACTGGCTCCACAGAAAGGCTACGATGAGAAGTGGCTGTTGAAGACACAGAGTGACTGGGAGCTGGTGTAGACCCCAGGGGAAGCAGGATGGGGCCTGCAGCAGGTCCTCGTGAAGCTGTGTTCTATGGCCAACTAACCCCAGTTCTAGGATTTTAACCAAGCAGAGGGAAAACTCAGCTGTATAACTGAGTTTGGAAAGTTTTATTTATGGTAAGTGGATGGTAGAAATAATTCCGATGTTTACATTGGAAAATGGACAGCCGATTTAATAGGAAACACAACTGAAAAATCACATCAAAGCATCCACATGGGCCATAATAAATCGATGGATCTCAGAAGCACTGGTGAATCAAAAACACAGGATTACACACTCCCTGATTAGAAAAGGTAACACCAGATTGCAGAAGGATAAGGACTGGGCACGAGAGCACCGAACTGGCCTAGAAAACCCTCAGGGGAATTTTCTTTGGTATTGAAAGCCTTCTACATCTCAATTGTGATTTCGGTTGTACAACTGCAAACATTTGTCAAAACTCACCACACTGTAGTCCTTTAAAAGGTAAACTCCCTACCTAAAAATATTTAGAAATACTTAGACAAAGCAAAACAAAAGAAGAAACCACCCTCCTTAAAACAAGACAAAAACACCTTACCTAAGCCCAGCTACCTCGTTTGTAAAATCATATCTACTGTGATACACGCTTCCCGCGGAAATGTTATCCTGGCCTGAGTCCTCAGTCCCTGCTTTGACTTGGATTTGCCAGTTTGTGTTGTTGATAAATAAAGATACAGGACATTTATGACAAGCGTCTATTATTATGCTCCATATATCTGAGACGTTGCACAGCTCCGAAACGAGTATGACATTCAATAAAAGAAGCCATAAAGAGTCAATAATCTTTTCAGAATCCAACCAGATGCCAGACTCCAGACCATAGTGAGAACAATTTGCTTTTGAATTCAGCCCTGCCCTCTTTTATTCATTTGCAACAGAATGTTTGTTGATTGGGTTGAAAGAAGAATTTTCAAAAATGTTCCTGTTTATTTCTCACGGCCTAGGCGGCGTCAAGGTTCTGACACCCGCACTGTGAATTGTAGACGTGTGTTCATAGTTGACACAATTACACTCCAAGTTCTTGTAGTTATTTCTTCCACTCCCTTGCCTCTGGAAGGGAGCTCACTCCCTCGCCTGTGTTTATACCCTATCCCCACTCTAACAGCAATAAAGTCCCATAGGCTGACTTTAGTGTGAGGTCTTCCAAGACCCTGGGAAATATCATTGCCCCAAATGGCCTGGTGCCTCATCATCTCTGCCTGACCTAGTTACTATTGCTGTGACCAAAAACAACTTGGGGAGGAAAGGGTTTATCTGGCTGACATATCCTGAGTCACAGCACATGGAAAGGAAGCAAAGGCAGGAACTCAGACTACGTGGGAACCTAGAGGCAGGAGCCCATGCAGAGGCCACGGAGGAGTGTTGCTTACTGGCTTGCTCCACATGGTTTGCTCAGCCTGCTTTCTTATAGAACTCAGGACCACCAGCCCAGGGCTGGCCCCACCAACAATAGTCTGGGCCCTCCCATATCAATCACTAATTAAGAAAATACCCTGCAGGCTTGCCTATAGCCTCATCTTTTTGTTTGTTTTGTTGTTGTTGTTGTTGTGGAGACAGGGTTTCTCTGTGTAGCTCTGGCTGTCCTAGAACTCACTCTGAAGACCAGGATGGCCTTGAACTCACAGAGATCTGCCTGTCTGTGCCTCCCTAGTGCTGGGGTTACAGGCATGCACCACCACCGCCCAGCTACTATAGCCCCATCTTATGGAGGCATTTTCTCAACTGAGGCTCCCTCCTCTCTGATGGCTTTAGCTTGTGTCAAGTTGACAGAGAACTAGACAGCACACTGCCCAAATCACTACTTATTTCAGCTGGAGATAAATTTTCTAAATCTACTCCTATCGGGATTGTCTAAATCATATCTAATGCAGACTGAACCATAATGATTATTACTTCACTTCTTAATAGTGATAATGGTAATGTAGCAACAACCATCAGCCTGCATTGGTAGCTGGGGTTAGGACAACGCTATATGTTAACAACTGCTCCTCATAGGCACAGATACCTGTTTTTACCATGAGGGATCCAGGCTCACAAGGTCTCAGAGGCTTTGCTCACACCATGAATCCAGGGAAATCTAGGTCTCAGATCTACTTCATATTCTTTTCTGGCTGGGAAGGATCAAGAGCTCACCCTGCTGATTAGCAAGGACATGTTGCTCCCCCTCTCTGTCCCCCCCCCCCACAACTAACAACAGAGGGTAAAGTTTTCGAAAGAGATGACAGTCTTCTTTTACTTGAGCTGTTTGGTTACACCAAGTCAAGTCCCCAGACAAGTGTTCTTCCCTGCTGACTGGTGGCAGGCAGACTTAGGTGGCACCTCAGTGATTTACAGCTATGAGATCCTTCCCATTTTCTAAACTGTACTAGACATCACTAGTCAATCAGTGTCTCGGCCACCAAGTTCCTAGATGACTTGTGAGTCATTTCTTTGTTCTCCTGAGGCACCCCCAGCAACTGATCACCATTGATGGCCAAATCACGGGGGCAGGGGGGGGGGCATTTCTAACTTTGCTGAGCTTTGTCTAATGCTTTGATTCTTCCCATCTGCAGGTGGAATTAAGGATAAAGACGACAGGAACATGCTGGGGAGTGTCATCCAGTGACTGGTCCACAGTAGGATCTCACCCGAGTGCCCTCTCTACAGCTGTTGTCATGCCAACCCTAGAGCATCAAGCCCAACCATTGTATGCATTTAGTTTTTTTTTTTTTTACATTTGGTTAGGTTTTTTTTTTTTTTTTAAATCAACTTGGCACAAGCTAGAGTCACCTGAGGGAACCACAACTGAAAATATGCCTCCATGGGATTAGCCTCTAGGCAAGAACTGTGGGGCTTTTGTTGTTGTTGTTGTTGTTGTTTAATTGGTGATTGATATGAAGGTACCCAGTTCACTGTGGTTGTTATAACCCCGAGGCAGGTGGTCAACTGAGCAAGCCAAGAGATGCAAGCCAGTAAGCAGCGGCTTTCTATGGCCTCTGCTTTACCTCTTGCCTCCAGGTTCCTGCCTTGAGTTCCTGCCTTGCTTTCCCCTGATGATGGACTGTGACCTGTAAGCCAAATAAAACCTTTCCTCTCCAAGTTGCTTTTGGTCATGGTCTTTGTCACAGCAATAGAAGAGCAGACAGTGAAGCAGCAGGACAGACAGACAGTGAAGCGGCAGGACAGATAGTGAAGCGGCAGGACAGAATTCAATGTGCTGAAATACACAATCTAGAGCAGTACTTCTCAGCCTTGGCTACAGAACAGAATCATGCCGGCAGGAGCCTTTCTACCACACAGATTCCCAAGTACCATTCTAGACTAAGTAAGCTCACATCTAACGCTGCTTCCAAAAGCACTTCATATAGACAAATGCTCACACGTGCACAAGGGTAGTGTGTAAAAGGACATCAACAGGGGAGGCAATAGAAAGGGGGCTAGCAAGACCCAACTTATCTGATCCAGGAAAGGGGGAAGAACAGGGAGCTCTAACTAGAGAGGGGGAAAGATAAATCCAGAAGGAGAGAGGAAGGGGAGTAAGATATCAGCAAGGATGGCTGAAAAAGCAATAAGGAATCATAATATTAACTATCTACAAAAAAAACTATAATAAATGTCTGCAAGTCTCTGTGTAAATATGCACGGTCTACATGAACTTTTCTCATCTGGGCTGACAATGCACCCTTCAAGAGACAAAGACCATACAACAAAATGCCAACACGAGGCATGAGAAGCCCTCTATCAATTTGTTGGCCAGGGTTGTCCAAGAGACTCCCAAAACATTACAGCTGTTGCTATTGCCTCCCAGAGGTGGCAGGTAAGCCCTATTGTTGGAGGCACATGCACTTCAGATGCAGGGCCCAGAGGATCTGAGCTGGAACTGACCTGAAAGTCTGTCTTAGTTAATGTTTCTATTGCTTTGAAGAGACACCATGACCACGGCAACTCTCATAAAGAAAACATTTAATTGGGGTGGCTCACTTCCTATTTCAGAAGTTCAGTCCATTATCATCATGATGGGGAGCATGGTAGTGTGCAGGTAGACATGGTGCTGGAGCTGAGAGTCCTTACATCTTGATCGGCAGGCAACAGGAAGTCAACTAACAGTCACACTTAGGAAAGCTTGAGTAAAAAGAGATCTCAAAGCCCACCCCCACAGTGACACACTTCTTCCAACAAGCCACACCTCCCAGGAATGCCACTCCCTTTGGGGACAATTTTCTTTCAAACTGCCACATTCCATTCCTTGGCCCCCAGAGGCTTGTAGCCATATCACAATGCAAAAAATACATTCAGTCCAATTTCAAAAGTCCCCATAGTCTATAGCAGTCTCAAACTTATTTCAAAGTCCAAAGTCTCTTCTGAGATGCGGCAATCTCTTAACTGTAATCCCCCTGTAAAAATCAAAATCAAAAATCAGATCACATACTTCCATCATATAATGGCACAGGATATACATTACCATTCCAAAATGCAGAGAAGGGAGCATAGTGAGGAAATACTGGACCAAAGACCAAAAACCAGCTGGGCAAACTCCAAATTTTGCATTTCCATGTCTGATGTCAAAATGCTTTTATGATATCCAACTCCATTCAAGTTTGACTGCAACACACTTCTTCCTCTTGGACTAGTTCTACTCCCTGTTGGCAGCTCTCCTCGGCAGGTATCCCATGACTCTGGCATGTCTAAAATCCTGGGTTCTCCTAAGGCAATCCAGGCTTCAACATCTCAGCTTCCCACAATGGCCTCTCAAGTACACCTCCATTCAGGGACACCCTGACACAAGCCTGGCCTCAATAGTTTTATTCCACAACTCCTTTCTTCTATCCTTAACTCTAAAGTCAGAACCATGTGGACAAAGCTGCCAAGTTCTGCTCCTTGCTGAGGCTGGAACATGGCCCCTCAGTCAATTACATCTTCACCAGCTTTCTGTCTTCCACTGACTAAGCTTGGCTGTCCTGTAACTTGCTCTGTAGACCAGGCTGGCCTCAAATTCAGAGACTCCCCAGCCTCTGCCTTCCCAGTGCCAGGATTAAAGGTGTGCCCCACCACATCCAGCTCCAAGCTTTCCCTTAGTTCCTTTTCATAGGTTGGAAACTTAACTGGGTGGTATCTTATCCTAAGGTCACCACTCCCTTTATTTCATTTCTTAATCTCTTTATCTCCTTGAACACAGAATTTAGCTTTATTCCACTTCCTGGTGCTTTTTTCTCCTCAAATTTACCTTTTTAAATTTACCCTGCTTGGTGTGCTCCTTTTCATTATAAATCTTCATTAGAGTTACCACTAATATCCACATGATAGAGTCTATACTAGGCTGTTTTGAGAGTTCTTCTGCCAATGGAATTAATCCAAAACTCTTTACTTTAGCCTCAAGCAGATTCTTTGGACAAGGGCAAAAGGCAGCCACTTTCTTCACCAAACTATCACAAGAACCATCTCTAGGCAACATACTGAAATTCTTCTCCTTTGAAACCTCTTGAGTGAGCCCCTGGCAGTTGAAGTAACTCTCAGCCCCTCTGTCTTCCATGCTCCTACTAGTATGGCCCATTAAGTAGAGCTTAAAGCATTCCACTGCTTCCCAAACCCAAAATACCAAAATGCAAATTCCTCCAAACAAACACATGGTCAGGCCTATCACAGGAATACTCCAGTCCCTGGTACCAACTTTTGTCTTAATTAAGGTTTCTATTACGTGAAAAGGCACCATGACCACGGCAACTCTTATAAATGAAAACATTTAATTGTGGTGGCTTGCTTACAGTTTCAAAGATTCAGTCCATTATCATCATGGCAGGGAGCATGGCAGCGTGCAGGCAGACATGGTACAGGAACTGAGAATTCCTTACATCTTGATAGGCAGGCAACAGAAAGTGGACTAACAGTCACACTGAGGGAAGCTTGAGCCAAAGAGACCTCAAAGTGGCATGCTTTGAGGCATTTCACTCACAGTGACACATTTCCTCCAAAGAAGCCATGCTTCCCAATACTGTCACTCCCTTTGGTGTGGTGATGTATTGTGTCCCCAGTATTGTGCACCCTAATAAAGTTTATCTGAGGATCAGAGGAAAAAGCCATCCACTATAGTAAAACAGAGGTCAGGTAATAGTAGCACATGCCTTTAATCTTATCACTCAGGAGGCAGGGATCCATCTGGATCTCTGTGAGTTCAAGGCCACACTGGGAACAGAGGCAGGTGTGGTGGCACACAACTTAAATTCCAACACTAGTTAACCATAAAGGTCTGAAGGTCTTTATAGACAGACAGGAAGTAACAGAGCTGGGGAGGAAGAGGAAGTGATATAGCTGGGCAGAGAGAGAAAATGAGATGGCAGAACAGAAAGGCATTTGGTGTGGGTAAACAGGAAATAGGTCTCTTTGGAGACTGAGGCATCGGTAAGGTGAGGGTTTTTTTTTCCTATTCCTCTGATCTCTCAGGTTTTAACCCCAATTTCTGATTCTGGGTTTTTTTTTTTTAAATTAATAAGATCGTTTAGCAATTCTTCTTACATTTTGGGAGCTATTTTCTTTCAAACCACTACAGCCTCCTCCCTGAGGATTAGATTTCATGGCATCCAAACACACCATGAAAGCTTCCAAAAAGAGGAAAGCAAGCAACAGTCCCACCTAGCTATAACACCTCTGAACCACAGTAATGGCCAGCAAAGCACAGTAACCCTAAGGGTGCAGTAGTAGTACACACCTTGATGGCAACCAACACTTCTCTCATTGGACGTAAGAGCCATTCCACAGGGAGGATAGCATGCATAGTACTAGATTCCTAGACAGCAATCAAGACTAATGAAGTCATGGATATTGAGGAGAACAACTGCTGTTTTATTAAACTGGCATAGTCCCTACCCACATTCTAAACATTTGTACTTATACCCACAGGTAAGTATACTCCTCACCCCTCTTCAATGAAACTTCTCCTTGCAACAAACAGAGGCCATTACAGAAAACCACAGCCAATGACAATGCAGAGTTGTGGAGTTGAGTCCCAATAGATACATCCACAAAGCAATTCCTACACCTAAGATTCATGAATCATTGAGACAGAGTGGGTAGAATGCTGCGAGTCAGAGAAATAGTCTTCCTCAGGGAAGAGCATACTAATTGTTTACCTAATACCAAAGGGCCAGCCCTGAAAACACACATATAAGTAACATCATACAGATGATCTACTTATATATATGTATATAGGAATGAAAGATAGAGGTCAGGAATTTGAAAGAGAGTAGGGAAAGTATATGGGGGTGGGGGAGGTCTGGAGGGAGGAAAGGGAAGAGGCAAATTATGTAATTTTTTTAAAAAAATTGTTATTATTTTGTTTTTTGAAATTATGTAATTATAATCTCAAAAATAGTTTTTTCCCCAGTGGGCACCAACAAAAGCTGCTTACAAATGCAAATTATGGGAACAATCTAAATGCTCATCAGAATAATGGGTGAGTTGATATATTGCCTGCAGTTGGAAGCTGTGCACCTATTTAAATAAGAGGACACAGTATGTCAATATAAAAAAAAACCTCTAAAATACTGTTAGGAGAAAATTAAGTTCAAAATACGTATAGTATTATGGGACTCACAAAAATCTTGAAATAGGTTGAACACCTTATTTCTTTATTGACACAGTCATATGAAGAAAACAACTAGGAAATAGATAGAAATGTAAACATGAAATTCTGGATCACTTATGGGGGAAAGGGATGGAAATGACAAAGGACCTCAATTGTCTCCACAATAGGTCCCTAGAACAGTGGTTCTCAGCCTGTGGGTCACAACCCCATTTGGTCAAACAACCCTTCCACAAGGGCTGTGTATCAGATATTTACATTACAATCCATAACAGTAGCAAAATTACAGTTATGAAGTAGGAACAAAAATAATTTTATGGTTGGGGGTCACCACAACATGAGGAACTGTATTAAAGGGCCACAGCATTAGAAAGGGTGAGAACCACTGATCTAGACAGTTCTAAAACAAATCAAGCTAGATAT